ATTTTTAATTGAATTTTTCAATCTCGAAATATTATCTGTTTCCTTTGTGATGAGTGCTTTAATTAAAATTATTATTGAATAAATATCAAATGTTAAAATAAATGTTTCAGCGTTGATCGTAATCTTATAATGCTTCAAGAAGAACATTTTCTTGAAGACGAATTTCAAGAATTAGTTTTTCGAGTCGAAAGGGTGATGAAAATCGACTCTTATATTTCAATCCCCCCATAGCCTTTAACATCATTTTCAATTTACATAAGCTTCACAATCCTTTTTTGTTGAAATTTTCTCTTATTTGAAGTTCAACAAGACGTAAAATTTTAATTTCTTCTACAAATATTGTTTCAAGTGAATGTGAAGAAAAACAAGAAAATTAGCATTCAATTTCCAGTCCATCAACATTCCTTTCATCGTTTGTTTGATTCCTTAATCTTCTCTCTTTTGTTAAAAGCATTTTGCTATTTTAATTACTATTTAAGAACTCAAGAGTTAAACTTTTATTACAAAGTATCTAGATATATAAATCAGCTTGTGAGTCGATTTTTATAAAAATAAAATTAAGGATTTCAGGTTAATGACAGTAATACAATTATATTTTTCATTGAAAATATCAAATACTAATTTGAGAATTTTTGTCATTGATTTTCATAATTATGCTCTCAGTTATTTGTGGTCAAAAACATTTTTTTTCTTGCCATTCCTTATAAAAAATTAATATGTATTACTCATTGCCTTTAATAGCTTTAAAGATTAAAAAAATGTATTTTATAAATATCGCTGTGGAAATGATTACATTTTGTAGCCATTTTGTGTAGAAATAGCGATCACGATGATAAATGTGACTGCTGTTGGTTCATAAACTTAAATGAAAGAGAAAGAAAAAAATACAAAGAGTAAGTAATGGAAATGTCGAGTCAAGTAAATGCCACTGGTTATGCGTTTAAAAATGAAAAAAGAACATGTTTCAAAACAGAAACATAAAATTTATGCAAATTACAATTTCTTAAAGAAAAGCATAAATTTATTGTTTGGTTTTAAAGGAGTAGTCTCTTATCTTGATAACAGTTGAGAATTTTATTGGTGGGTTTAGTTTGCTTATTCGTCATCTTGCTGACATTGCAACCAACACGAAAAGTCTATTAAACTCAAAAATTATTTATATTTATAGAAAGAAGTAATTCAATTTTGTGGCTTAAATATGGATGCTCAAGTCTTATTCCACTTGAAGCGATTAAAATTATTATGTTATCATGTTGATATGTAAGAGTAATTTTAGTAATTCTGTTTTTGCATATGCGCCATATATCTATGTATATAAATAGATATTAACGGAATAAATAGGATAGTTCTGGATGTTATTAAAAAGTAGATTTAATATGGGTGCGCCGTTGAAAAATGTCGTCTTAAAATAATTATATTTTTCAGTGATATAGGTTTTTAATCTTTTTATGTGTGATATAACTCATATAACTGTGAATGGAAAAATGCCAGTATGAACAATTTTCTTCACGTTTACTATTTCTACATGTAACAACTAATCTGTAAAGATTTAAAATTTGGAATTTATTAATTTTAATTATAACCAACGAAAAACTACACATGTGAAGCAAGCTTCTCAAATCAAATCACGTATGGATGGCCATGCTTCTCCATTGCAAAGTATCATGTCAAAAATAATTTTTGCTTATATTTTCATTTTATTAAATTCACGTTTTCTCTGAATGTTCCAAACATTTTTCTTCCTAAATTATAGGTTTTCTTATGCTTCTACATTTTTATAAACAAAGAAAAAAAAATTATTTTGAATTATTTCGCTTAAACAACAATCGATTCAATAATTTTAACAGTATCTAGAGTAGAAGTTGTTAATTCCGGCTGGTTTTAATACCGTTTTTTTCGGTATCTTAAAACCGTCTTTGGATTTTTCATGTGAAAATAAGAAAATGTTTTCAACTTTTAGCTTTATATTTAGGCTTTATATTAAATTTAAAGCCTACATAGATGTAAAGCTAAAAGTTGAAAACATTTTCATATTTTCACATGAAAAATCCAAAGACGGTTTTAAGATACCGAAAAAAACGGCATTAAAACCAGCCGGAATTAGCAACTTCTACTCTATAATGTATAATGAAAAAGTATGAAAATATTAATAAACCTAACATCAGTATCGTTTGAAAGACATCTGATAAGATCCCGAGTAGCTATCGCCTTGTTGTGTTATTCGTGAATTATTTCCGATGAAATTCGAAAAAAAAAATTAAGTGGCTTTAATTGGTTACCTTTTTCATTATTTACTTTTTTCACAACATCTTAATTCATCAAAGTTTACACGCATCCAAATTCGTTGAAATGACATTCAGAAAGAAAATTAGGAAGAAATTTTCAAGTGAGCTGAAATTTTCGAATTCTAAAGAATTAAACTAAATGTCTTTACCAATTGATTAATTTTTAAAAAGCTTATAAATTTAATTTCTGTTGCAGTGATATACATACACATAGTGTGACAATAATAAAATATTAAAAGATGAATTATAACCTGTTATAAAATATAAATGTACATAAGTGTCATCAAACTTTTAATTGAGAAATAATTTGGTTGAAAAATTTATTTGTAATCCTACCTGCTACCTTAAAAGCTATCCAAATATATTCTATATATTCAAAGATGTCGCTTAATTCGCGTTGCGCAGCATTATTCATTTAATAAAGACGTTAGGTTTCCTAATTTCTAGAATATTATATGACATAACACACTTATAGAATACGAAAATTCCATATAAAAAAATATGCACTATGATGTTATAATTAAAAAGAATCTATTCTATGATTAATGTTGTTTTTAATTTATTCTTTCATATTTATAAAATCAAGGTAATAAAAAAAGAGATGATAACAGTAAAATCATGCAGCAACATAAATAACATGTACAACAGCTTTTATGTGATCATTTCTTACAAAAATCAGGTTCAGAATCCAGAATATAAAATACATTTTAATACGCAGACTTATAATGTTACTGATAAGAAGCGAAATTAATTAATATAAATTTTAAAAAAAATCCAACTTTCATCTACATATAAAATTTTTTTGCAAAGTATATAACTTTTAAACAAAATATAAAACATGCAAATATATTTCTTAAAAGAATATATGTATACACAATTTATTTACAATGCCATTAAAATATAAACTCAATACTATGAGTACTGTATATATAATAACACAAAAATGAAACAGGAAGTTTTTTAGGAAATACTCTTTTACTCTCAATTGAACAAGATGACCTCAAGGTTATTATCTTTACAGACTCACCCAAGGTATTCAGGTTTGAATTGAGTGGAACTATTTTATTTTTATTTTATTTATTAAGAAAAATAAGTAAATTTTACAGAATCGCAACAGAAAATTGATGAATCAATTAAAAGGAATTAATAAACATAAGTGTCAATTGAATTGAAGAATTGGTCGGACAGTTATTCTTAGATCAATTAAAAACTTTCAGAATTCATGCTCGAATTATATTAAAAATTATTTATTGCTTATTCATTATTTGACAATGCACAAGATCAATGTTATACTTACCTTGTGTATTGTAAAGCTAATTTTATATGTACTGGTGAATCATAGATGTTTTACAAACGTTTTAAAAGTTCATTAAACTCGACCCTCAATTACAATAACTTATTGAGCAATGAATTTGACGTTGTTTCTTCTCACTCCCTAATAGGTTGCAATGAGTTACAATTGTTTCATTTTTCTTTATTATTGTAATCTTGAAGTAATTATTTGACATAAAAGTATATCACGAAAGATTTCTATGTATAAGTTAGGATTTTGATACATTTTTTATGAAATTTGAATTATTGATAAAGTCTGTCTTGACAAGACCAGATTTTATTTGTAATTCAAAAAAGACGAAAGAAATCGAACGTGAAAAGCCGCATGAGGAAAACTCAGTCAAGGTTTTAAAACCAAGCGAATTATGCCATTTTACGAAACAAAATTTAGTCTCATATAATGTTTAGGGCTTTGAGCAACTTTTTTAGTAGTTTTTTCTAAAGTTACATAGAAAGACAAAAGTAATGTTTAATTCAATAGCTAACATCTGTTTCTTTTGTGATGAATTGTGAGATGTTAATTAAATAATTATACACTTTATAAGTTTATGTCTCATTTATAACGACCTAAATTTCTGATATATATTTATTACCTCCAAGCTGTTCGCAGATTAAGATTTGGATGCCAATATCACTTCTGACTTTTAAACGTCTATTAATGGTGACAAAAATCATAATTGAGATAGTTCAAATTGGAATGAATATTAATAAATTGATTAATCAAATTGGAATAAGAATCTATCATTGAGTTTATGTCGAAAGTAAGGGTTTTCAAAGTCACTTTTACTTCAATTTCACTTTAATTGGATTTAAAAATAATAAATCAAATCAATAATATATTCTCTCGATGTCTTGATAATTTTCGAGAAATACTTTTTAGGCATTCTAAAATGTTTAATAATTGATAAGCAGCAATGTATTTTTCCTGAGAAAAACTTTTCCGAGTGTTGAATTTTTAATATTAATTTAGATTTTCAAATGCAGTGAGGCGAGTTTAGCCAAGACTCTGAATAGTTCAATGATCTAGTAATACTCATGTACCTAGCTTTTGTAACAGTAATGAAAGTGAAAAAAAAAACGGTAGCTGTGTTGTTTGTAGGTCATGAGAGCTTTATAGTTTTATTTTGAATTATCATACAATTAGTAACTTAGAGTTGTATGTATTATACTATGTATCAAGTTCAACAGTCAACGTTGTGTAATGAGAGCTCAAAAATGAATGAACAAAGTAGCTTGCAAAGTGGTTTTCTCCTTTTTCTTCGGTTTCAGCTTGAAGACCCCACTTTTTTCTCTTTTCGCCGTCTTTGAATCATACTTTGAGCAATATAGGTTCAATTGTGTTTAGCAAATATAAAACTTAAATCTCAAACAAACCTCTTCGCATCAGTCTGGATATGACTCTTCGCGGTAGCAGTTCATTGGCTTAAATCGTTTGCGGAAATAGATACATAATTTATTTTTTCGAAGTAAATTATTTTAATTAGTGAAAGACAAAAAAGATTTTTCAATAGAAACTAGAACCTTTTTATGTTCATAAGCAGTTAAAAGTGTACTTTAGAAGGAAGAAGAGAACAATAAAATGGAGTTTTTGCTAAGAACAATATTTGATTACGGTTTAACGCTTATAGGATTTTGGGCATTGTTCTGTTGGTCAATAGACAATTTCAGATCAGTTATTCAGATAATTAAAAGCATATTAATGCCATATTTTCAACCATACGAGAACAAAACATTAGCTGAAAAATATGGAAAATGGGCTGGTAAAAGTTATAATTTTGAAATTGATAAATAAATATAGTAAATGAAGTTAACGGATAAAATATTTAATTTTGGAGATGTTTTCGCAATGGTCATCTTATTTATGTACTAAGTACTATTTGTACTAAATATCTTTGTACATATATAAGCGCAAGAATGGAGAATGTCTTGTTTAGCATCAGATAGGTTAAGAATAATTTAAATACTTTGGATAACAAACATTTATAAGTGCTAGTATAAATACATACAAAACTAACAGAAATATTCTCAAACAAAAAAAATTCTAACTACGAAAACTAGTATGTAGATATTGGGAAAATTCTTCTTAAATATTTTGCAAATCTTTTTGTAACTCTTCTGAAGTTTATTCTTTATCATAAAAATAGAAAAGTTTCTGTTTTATTTTGAAGATGAATACGATAACAAGAATATGCTTCATCTCAAGAAGAACCTTGAATATTCCAAAGGTTAACGAACGAAAATATTATAAAATATACTAGCACGTATATGAATACAGCTTTCAAATGCAATTACAATGTGCAGTGCCTTTTATTAATTTTCGTCCATACAAGTTCAAAGCAAAATACAATTATCAAAATTTATACTTGAGTTAAATTTATGATAAGCAGGTAAATTATAGGTTTAATTTAAATTTAATCATAAATGTGGATAGTTTTTGAAAAATTTACATTAGTTAAATTTGTTTCATTTATTGAAGGTTTGTTTTTTCAAATTTCAATTAAAAAAACTTCCGAAATATCGACAAAATTCTATTTATTAATCCTTTCTTGGATTCAATATACGATACAGAATTCTTACTTTAAGTTTTTAATATTTATTTTAAGACACGTTCAAAATATTAGATTTTAATATTTAAACACTTATTTACATTTGCAAATACTTAAAAGTTATCACTGGTTCAACGGATGGCATTGGTCGTGAATACGCAAAAGAACTTGCTGCTCAAGGAATGAATATAGTTCTTGTTTCAAGAACAGAATCAAAGCTTGTAGAAGTTGCAAAGGATATAGGTATAAATATGAAACAAAATATAATATTTATTTTCGGTAATTATTTTATTTAAATTAATCTCCTTCCTGTCTATGAAATGAATTTATTAATCAGAGTCAACATACTCTGTGAAAACAAAATATATTATTGCTGATTTTGGAAATGGAAAAGAAATTTACGATGACATCCGTCAACAATTGCACTTGCTAGATGTTGGTATTCTTGTAAATAATGTTGGTCGTATGTATGACTTTCCTGATGAACTTGATAATATATCAGAAAACCTTTTATGGCAAATTATCAACATAAATGTTGCTGCTGTAACGATGATGTCAAGAATAATAATACCTCAAATGAAAGTAAATAAACGTGGAATTATTGTAAATATTTCGTCGGGAAGTGAGTTACAACCAGTACCGTTGATGACAGTTTACGCTTCAACAAAGGTTTATGTCAAAAACTTTACATTAGGTTGTTTCTTATCTGTAGTTTAAATTCTGTGAATTTAATTTTGTGTCGTTTTTTTTAGCTTTAAGCAAAGAGCTTGAGGGCTATAATGTTCAGGTACAATTAGTGACGCCTTTGTTTGTACAAACAAAAATGAATAATTACTCAACGACTGTGATGAAAGGAAATATTCTGGTTCCTGATGTCAAATCATATACGAAGTCAGCTGTATTTACTCTCGGGAGAAGTTTTAAGACAACTGGTTATTGGAGTCATGGCTTACAATATGGAACTATGAAACTGATTCCTGAATACATTAGAACTTTATTCTCTTTTTCAATGAACAAAAAATTTCGTCAAGAATATTATAATCAACAAAAAAATGCTGCTGTTGAATGATTGTTAATTATATCAAAGATCATTAGAGATTTTTTCGCCATTATTTACCAATATTATTTAAGGAATAATTTTTATGTTGTCATATAGAAACTTTATATATAGTATAAACAGGAAGCATATAAAATGCAAAAGTTTTGAAAATATCTAAATAAATATTGATAAATTACAAACAGTTATTTGAAAGGTCTTTTTACTCTTCATAATCAAATCATTTAAGCATTCAAATACGTGTTTACTAATTCAGTTTAATATTTAGGTTTCTATAATATAAAATTTAAACATTGAATGTCTTATTTTTCTTTTATTCATACAGTGACATAGAAAATTAAACCTAAATCATATTAATGTCTTTAATTGCCATAGCACAATAAATTTGTTTCGCTTAATTTTTTGTCGGAATGGTAAGCTGTTGCATTTGGTAACCGTTGAATGGAATGAATTACCCATCAATTTTACCAGCAAGGTCAGATACTAATTTTTTATTGATCATAATTCGGAAGCAAATTCGGACAATGAATCTTTAGTTTCATGATCACAGCATTACAGCGTCATTACTTCAAATGTATTTACAGCACTTACTGATTTTAGTGGTGGCTCCAAATCATTTTGAGAAGATACTTAAGTCATATTATACCTTCTATTGAATAGAAAGATTCTACTCTGAATTTCAGTGAGTAACATTGAACCAATTAAATATTTTTCAGTTCACAAACAAGTCTCTAATTTTTCCTCAACACCAACGCGCTAAATTACTTCTTCATATCTGTCTTAAGTCATTTGGCAACTGCCTAACCGTGAATTACAAAATAAAATAACAATAATTGTGGTGTTTTTATCTAATATAGTAAAAATTACGTAACATTGGCATGTTGCGTCTATCGAGATACAAACATGATAAATATTTAACACAATTAGATAACTGGTATAAGGGTATAAGTTTTTTGTTCAATTATGATCACGCACTAAAATGACGTATTCTGGTGATTGTTCTTGTATAATGTTTATCATGTTAGACTATTCGTTAGTTAAACATTATAAGATCAAGAGAAGGGTATAAACATCATCAGTACGTTTTTTTAAGTAGCTTTGTATTCAGTTCAAAATATCTTGATGATCTTGAAATAAGAAACTAAGCACTTGATAAAACCAGTCACGTCAAGCTAGTGTTTAACAGATAGGTATTTATTTTGTCTTCTACGGCATACTATTTTTTTTTAAAACATTCTGAAAGATATTCATAAGAAATGTTTAGCTATTAATTATTTATTCATCTCTGTACGCAAACAAATGGTCAATTACTAGATATACAAATGAAATAAAAAATCATCTGCTTTAAAGGAATATTCAATTGAATTTGAACAGTAAACAAGTTTGAAAGAAGACAAGAGAAAAAATATTATGTACAGTGAAACTTTGATTAAGAGATGCCTCGATAAAGTATTAACCTTGATAAACGGATGAGCACAGACTCGAATTTCTTTAAAAGATTGATAAAATAATAACAAATATATTTTTGTCCCCCTTGAGCCATCTGTTTATCGAGGTTCCACTGTAATTTAGATGTAGATAGATACCTATATGAAATTTAATTCTAAAACAGTTTTCTAAAATTTCAAGGAGGGTACAAAGTCAAGACATTATTATTTTTACTATTGGAACATACATTTTGTTAGTAGATTTTAGAATTGTTTAAAGTATAAAAAAATAGAAACATTAAACATATCTTTGTTAGATAAATGTTAATTATTGGAACATTTCTATTAAAACTCATAAAAAGTGCTTGTTCTGTCGAATTATTTTTATATCTAAATACATATTTCGTAATGACAACCGAAAAATTGAATTGAATTGGAGAGGCAGTTAGACATCTATATTAATGTACCATTTATAAAATGACAAATTTCGAAGCAACTCTCGAGGTCATAATTATGAGATTTCTAACAAACACTCAAACTTTAGACAAATTATTAAAACGTAATCAAACAACAGTTTTGTTGAAAAATATTAACCGTTTATGCTCTTTTATATTTAATCTTTTGTCATCAAATTTCAGCTCTTTAACAATATTCCTTCGAGATTAATGTCGAATATTTTACAAAGTTTTTACTTAATATTTATTCAATGAAAAATGCAAATATTTTTTACGCCATCTATGTATGACCTTAAAAACCAACTTTGATTCATCATGAAGCAGATATTTTTAATTTTGTTTCGTGCACATGAAAAGCTAGCACAAGATTGTGTTACAAGAACCGGTTGCAATTATTCAAACTGCATTTTTTTTTGTTTGAAGAACTCCGAAAGGCTAAGCTTGATAAATACATGGAAGGTGATGTAGAGAACCATCAATGTTTATAAGTAACGCCGATAGATTTGAAATACATATGTACATACGCACACGTATTGATGTAGTCGACTTGTTGACCGTTGAAGCTAATAAATAATATAAGCCTTGAGTTCTAAAGAGATCACGAACAAAGTGCAAAATTGTCTCCGATGTTAAATAAATTGCTTGTATATGAACACGACAACATTAAAAATATTATATTCTGAAAAAATATTTCCAAAATGTGAGCAACAATTTCATAATGAAACGTCTAATGAAAAATNCTAATGAAAAATATAATAAATATTTTTTTATAGAAAAGTCTTTTTTAAATTAGGTATTTGTTGTAAATAAATACATGTTTAAAATCTCCAAAATTCATAGTAAACCATGAATGAGAATTTAGTATTCTAAACTGAAAAATAAATAAATAAATTGTTTACAAAAATAAGTAAATTTGCAATTGTTGAAGACTTTCGCTGAAAGATTTTGTTATCTTATTGCTGGTTAAGCGATAGTAAACGCTGATTTGGTTGAATGGTGTTAATAATCGCTGGTTAGTAAATAGCTCACAATCTGTGGGGTTTTATGCTAAAAGAAAAAAGAAAATTTAAATTAAAATCTACAAAATATCTAGTAACTTTATCAGAAAATAGAAAAATATTTCGTACAATAAAAAAAATAATCTATATTAATGAAAATAAAGTAACAATGATTGTGGCTCATTTGAAATTATTTTCTTAGACATTTTATAATGAAGCACATAAATGTTTCACCAAAAATCTTGTCAAACCTCCTTGTCATAATTTAACGAATTCGTTGATGAACTAAAAAATTGAGAGAAAAGTGAGTTTTCCGAAGAAAAACAATTTTCTATGAAAAACATCTTTATTTCTCTTGATAACTAACACATGAGCCTCGTAAATTATCCGCCAATAATTGTTCTTTAGATATTTATTTTCTCTAGTTATTTGCCTTACCATCTTACGAGATTATATATTATCACTTCATTTTTGAACAAAGACAAATAACTGAGGAATTACCCAACGACCCCTTGTGCTATATAAATATTTAAGTCTGCATTTGTAGCTATCGAAACTAGAAAATATAAAAAAAAGATATTCGGAAGTTTTTTTTCTCGCAGAACTTAATGAACTGTCTCGAGAAATGTTGAAATGCTTATCTCGTGAGCCTTTAAAATAAAAATAAAGAAATACGGCGCGCTGCGAGAAAGACATTAATAAATAATATTTCTTATTCCACTTGCTCTATTGATGACATATTTTTTTTTGTGAATTCTTTACTACTTTTTGTATTCAAATTATCATACAAAAATAGTTGTGGCACACGTGGCTATGGTCAATTAGAAAAAAACCAAAAATCTGCTATAATTAGAACTTTTTAACACAATACATTGAAAAACATAACAGAATGTACTCGCAAATATCCAAAAGATCTCAAAGTAAAAAAAAATTCATGAAAGTAAATTGGCCTTAAATTCCGTTATTATACTAATGAAACGCTAACCAAAGCACAATAAATTTTATTCCAACATTATTTTTATTTTATCATTATTAAATTAGCCTATCAAAAAAAGAATCTTAAGATAGTTGCTTCTGCAATAAATTTGATAATGTTATACATTTAACGTGTTTTCTTTTGTAAACATATTTCTGATTTAATTTTTCAAGTTAGCTCAGATTATGTGTGCGTGACACCACGATCGTAATTGATATTTATTACAATAATACTTTTGACAACACATCGTGTGTCGACAATGATTCAAGTCGTAAATCATTTTTTCATAATTTTACGTATTGCTGTTAACTTGAACATTATGAAGCGTTATTCAAAGGAAAATGGAACCCTGACGCACTCTGCCAATATAAATACTAGATGAATTTTCTTTGTCTCTAATAGAAGAGAAAAAAATAACGCTGGCTAACATTAATATGAGTTAAGTAAAAATAGCTGCTTAAAGCTTATTTTTAGTAATGAACAGTAAACAAGAAAATTATCCCGAAAAATTAATTTCGAGGTTTGTCGAACTGTTTCTTTATAAGAAATAACTTATTACAAGAATTATTTTCGATCATTATATCCACCTTAGGAAACAATACGCTTATTTTTCAACAGTCGTCAAGGAAAGCAGGGAAGAAATCTAATAAAAATGTTGACAATTTTTATAGTCAAAAATTGCATATTTCTTATATCAATTCTTCTTATTTATATTTTGATATTCTTTTCTATAATACCTATATCATATTATTTTATTAGATGCATGATTGTTGAATTTAGAAATTCTTTTACAATATCTCGTTTTCTGGCTTATTTACTGGATTTCCAATCCCTCTTTATTCATAATTGATCATTCTTAAAGAACAAAATACTAAAAGACTGTTTTCTCATAGATATCTTTCCAGGGCAATCTTTCGATCCAAAAATAATATTGTGAATATCTACTTAAAAACCACCCACGCATTCATTTCAAGCACGTTTCTTGAATTTAATGTTCTTTATGATTTTTACTTCTCAACTGTTTAGCAGATGTGAGAGATCTGAATTTTTTTACTTCTGTTGGAAACTGGATCGATTTCATTTGTAATAAAAAAAATTAGTTAAATTAGTAAAAGAAAATTACTACATATTCTTTAATATTAATTTATTCAAAGGAAACATAATTTATACTTTCTTATATGATTTAACTTGTGCTTCCTTTATTGAAATTTTTAAATGATGTTAACCACTTGAGATTATTCCAATTAGCATAACTCACCATTTATATATATTGANTCTTACGAATATGTGAAAATATGTTTCTTATCAAAAAACTTTATAGAAAATTTATTACTTCGTGAGCCTGTTATTCGGAATATTGCATAATATGATAGAGAAATTACTAATTTTACTGTTCAAAGTACCAAAATAGGTAGAATTTCTATATTTTTGTTTTTTATTTATATATTAAGATAAACGACCTTTAAATCTGACCTTTAATCAAAAAATAATTTTTGCTGACTTTAGTTTTCAGAGCTTTAAGTTCGAATAGTTTACAAGGTCATTCTATTTGTCGCAAACTTTGTAATACAGTGAACTTTCTTTATAAGTTTTCTCTTTATGAGTAAAAAGTTCTTTATAAACAACACACTCATATTAAGAAGTAATGTTAAAAAATATTCTTTATAGGAAGAAGTTCTTTATAGGAGACTCCCTTCAGAAATCTTATAAAGAAAGTTCACTGTATATTGATTTTATGATGTATAAAACAAAAATTAACCATTTTACAAATACCATGAATTAATTAGTAATAGGAAGAGGCTACATATATAGACACTTAAAGGTTTAGTTTTCTTTTACCATTTATTCATCATACTTTAAAAGCATAACTTTTATCTCTGATAATAAAATTTCCTGGTTTATTAAATCTGGTTAAACTCAAAATATCAAAATAAAAGGTTTAGGTGATTGTTAAAAAAATTCCTTCAATGAAATGAAATCTCATAATACAAATGATTGTATTCCTCTTATTATTATTATATTTATTATATTAAATGAAACAATTTCATAGTTGAAAAAAAAGTTTTATTCAATACGAGCCTACAAATGATATTCTGGTCTGAAGGAGCTCTAATAATGAAATTTCTTAAAGCATTTTAAAATTTAGAAGATCTGTATGATAATTCTAAAGGAAACTATTGGTCTGAAAACTAAAAGCATTCACTTTGTTGATAAAAAAAATAAGGATCTTAAGAATTTGCTTCTGCTCTTCAACTCAAATCAACTTAAGCTATGAATTATTAATTAATGAAGAAAGTATTTAAGAAAAGGATACTGAAATTCTACGATCTGCACTTAAACTTGATTCACTTTTTCTGTGGATTCTGTATGCCAAGAAAGTCGTTGTTCGTAGAAATCAATAACAAGCTGGGGACACTTTTGTCTAGCAAGTTTTGAAGGAATTAACATGGCTTTTGTACTGTTTTTCCATTGAACAAGAAATGCTAATCCTCCATTGATTTCAGTTGCTCCCATGATTTTTTCAGGCTCTAATCCTCTATCAAATGGTGAGGAATTTTCCTTTTCCTTTAAAACTTTTTCGATTTCCTCATTGGAGTGCTTAGTTGATTCATTAGTTTCCTTGCGTTGTTGTGTTGTTTCCTCATTAGAATGTTTATTTTTTGGCTTTGACTCTTCCAAACTCTCAGAACGCTTACGTTTCTTAGCAGAATCTTTACTAGAAACTTCGGGTTTTCTTATGGTTATAAATGATTCTTCATCGAGGTTTTCACTGACTCGACGTTTCTTTCCAATAATATTTGATGACTTCTTTTTGACAGTCTAAAAATGTTTTATAAAATACAGTTTGTAGACATTATGAGAAAATATATAGAAAAAGATTACGCTTTCTTCGTGTTTCTTGCGTTGATTTTCAAATTCCTTGATGAGTTCTTCACAATCTAAATGTTCTTCTGGCTCCCATGTATTTTGACAGCTATCATAACCTTTCCATTTCAAAAAATATTCAATCTGATTTTATGAAAAAATTAAAATAAGTGAAGGAAACAAAAAAAAACTTCTTAATAAATTTACCTTGCCGCTCTTTGTGATTCTTTTATCAAGAACTTTTTCAACAACATAATCACCTTCTTCACTTTCAGAATCAGTATCGTTTTTTGAATTTTCATTATCAGACTCTGAATCCAGCAGATCTTTTGTTTTAGGCATTTCTCTATGTATCTAAATTGTGAAGAGAAATATATTAAGATTTTATTTTTTGTTCTTTTAGGAATTATTACAGAATTATAAAAATATTCAATATATTGTAATATTAAAAAGATAAGACTTTATTCCAAAATAAAAGTTAAGTTACGTGTTTTTGATCAGTATTTATAAGTGGTTAGTTTTAAAGTATATGGAGATAAACTTCGGAATAATGGTGATATTTTCGAAGAACAGTTGAAAATATTGATTCGAAAACTGTCGGATTGAACACCCTTCGGGTTGCGCGGGAATATCAATAGGGTGAATAAACACACATATTTCTTAATCTATAAAATTAATTACAATATCTACATTCTTGTAGGTTTTATAAAAAAAGAAAGAAAAAAATGTCATCTATAGATTTGTATAATCACTTTAATGATGAAATTGATGCACAAGACGATTATTCAGGAGAAGATGAAAATCCTGAGAATTCAGATCCAATAAAGAAAAGCGACAATGAAGATAAAATTGGAATATTAAGTGTTGAGCCAAAAGTAATACGTGCAAAAAGAAAACTTTTTACATTAAATTCTGAAAGACTTAAAGGTCCTCGTGGAATTGTTGCGATTGATGACTTTTTTAAAGACATCAAGTTTAAAGGAAAAGGCTATGAAAAACAAGACATCGAAAATGTGATGAAAAGGCTTGAGCATTGGGCGCATAGGTAAATTATCAGACAATGATATTATTTTTTCTATGGTACTTTTTAATTTGCAGAATGTATCCAAAGTATAATTTCGATGATTCATTGGCAGCGATTGAACGGCTTGGAAAGAGGAAAGAAGTTTCTATTCATATGACACGTTATCGTTTGGACCAATTAAAAGAAGATGTCTATGAAACAATACTTCCTGATATTAAAGATACCGATGGAAAAATAACTGAACATAGTGATCTAACAATTGATGAATTTGATGCTTTGATTGATGAACAGATTGCTCTTACAACACTTCATCCTATTGATCAAAATAAATCGTTTGGAAATACTTCCTCACTGATGTCACAGGTAAATGCGGAAAAGTTATTGGCACTATCATCTCCGTCTGGTTCACTGCCTTCCTCGCAGCATAATCATCCATCATCCCAACTATCAATTAGCGATGAAATTCGAGCAAAAGTAGCTGAAAATAGGAAAAAAGCGTTGGCAATTTTTGAACAAAGGAAAAAAGATAAAAAAAGTGAATGTGAAAAGAAGCAAGCTAATGAAATTACTAATATACATATTGATGACGATGATTTCTAATAAACTTAATACGTTGCCTTGAGTTTTCATTTGGAACAATGTTTAAATAAAGTATTAATACTTAAAAAAATGAAAATTAAAATTTTGTCCTGTCCAATATTAGTACTCATTTTTTATTCTAGGAGTAAACATAATGGTAAATGTTTTTACTTTATTCTTGAATTGTAATTTCCAATCGTTCTTTGATTTTAGTTTTAAGTTTGACACTTGAAGTGAGATTATTTTTTTTGGTCACATTGAATTTATAACGGAAAAACATTATTTAAACTCCTAAGTTCAATTCATGCGGCTTATTCGTTCAAAATATCATAAGAAAAAACATACCTTCGTACCCCTTGAAGCTGTTAAAGAAGTACACCAGACTCACTAATTGTAATTTGTAGGTAAAGAAGAAGTGCTTAACGTAGGTAGTTTAACTCTTAACTCTTTACTTTCCTCAAAGAAGATTTGTTATTTTATAGCAAGCTTAGTGAAGCGTGATTCCAATCAAGTGAATAGATTTTTTACTCTCGTCATTCTTTTTTTCTCAATAAAGAAAAATTACAAATCAGAAAATTTATAACTTAACTATTTATTTTCTTAGCTTTTAGATAACTATGGATGAAGATAACAAATTATATGAACTTTTGAATGTCTCAAGGACAGCGTCAGATGCTGAAATTAAAAAAGTGAGTTTATTTTTAAGAAAACGTGGTATCAATTCATTTACTGTCTCAAGGACGCACAAAATAATTATATATTTTTAATCCTTTTATCTTTAGAGCTATCGTAAGCTTGCTATGAAGTTCCATCCGGATAAAAATCCTAATCCCGAGGAGGCTGAGAAATTCAAAGAAATAACTTACGCTTATGAGATTCTCTCTGATACCGAAAAACGTAAAACCTACGATCGTTATGGCATCAAAGGACTTCAAGAAGGTGGTGCGGATGCTAATGATATGTTTGGCTCAATATTCGGACAATTTTTCGGAAGAAGTGGTCCATCAGGTCCTCAACAATGCGAGCCAATAGTTATACAAGAGCTTGTGACTCTTACAGACCTTTATGTAGGCGGAAAAGAAATTCCACACAAAGTAACTCGTATTGTTAGCTGTTCAAAATGCTCAGGAAGTGGTGGAAAGAATGTTAAAAAGTGTCGAGATTGTCGGGGAACTGGGACAAAGATTATACTTCATCAAATGGGTTTCATGACGCAGCAAATCGCAACCAAATGTAATGATTGTGATGGTACCGGTGAGTTCATCGAGAAAAAGGATCGTTGCGATATTTGTAAAGGTTCTAAGACAATTGAGGAAAAAAAGGAAATCATAGTTCACATTGATAAGGGTATGAAACATACACAGAAGATTGTTTTTCGAGGTGAAGGTCACCATCTGCCAGATTCTGCCAAAGGCGATATCATAGTGGTGCTTAAAGAGCAGTCGCATGAGAATTTCAAACGAAACAAAGACGATCTTGTAGTTCATCAGACGATTTCCATCACGCAAGCTCTTTGTGGATTTGATTTGGTGATAAAACATTTGGATGGACGTGATTTGCATATCAAGAATGCAGCAGGAACGCTCATGAAAAATGGTGAACTTAAATGTATTGTAGGCGAAGGAATGCCGATTTACAAGAACCCTTTTGAAAAGGGCAATATGTTTATTGAGTTTACCGTTGAGTTCCCTATACAAATGGATCCGGCCCTTCTTCCTGCTTTGGAGAAATGCTTACCTCCTCGGCCCGCCTTTGTGATGCCTATCGGTGAGCATGTTGAAGAAGTCGACATGACAGAATACGATCCCAATCAGAAAAGTGGACGAAACAAACATTCAGCTGCTTATAATTCTGATTCAGATGACGAAGACGGCAACGGGCCACAAGGTGTGCAATGTCGCGCATCATAAGACTTTATACTAGAATCAAATTAACATCATGGGTGGTTGTAAGGGTTTTTTTTCTTGAAGTTTCACTCATTTAGTAAGCTCAATTTATTTATGTATATCACCAGCTATTTACTGCGAAACTTCGATAAACCTTTATTTTCTTAACTTTCTTTTTCTGTTTTCATTCATCTTGCAATAAAACAACCATAATAGAATTCCATAATTCCCATTTCATAAATTAAAAGTTAAAAAATAGAACAGTTTATAAGCTTTAAAATCAAATCTGATTTTAGAACTTTGAATATCACTCAATTCGTAATAACCATCAACAATATAAAGTATCTGATGGTATTACATAACTACATCTCTTTGTTGTGGCTTTTTAGCATAACTGGATTGAATGGATTTAGATTGAGAAAGTAAATATTCTTAATTATTGGTTTAGGAAATTAACTGAGTAGATTTCTCGAAATTAAACATAAAATTTATTAAATGGAAGAATCAATAAAGCTTACAAAAAAGGATGAAAAGAAATTTTCTAATCCAAAAAAAGCATCTTGTTTTTGAAAAAAGTCATCCCGAAGTCAATATCATCTCACATAAATACCTATCTGTTTGTCCATAAATTCCTAAATTAAATTCAACTCATAAGACACATCAGTCAATGAATAGACTTTTAATTGTATAAAAGAGTGTATCCAAGGCAAAAAATGCATTTTGAGATAGTTCCTTATTTCAATTCATTTTGAGAATATCTTTTTTTAAGATGGAAAAAGATCTTCAATATTTTTATTTCAATCTCTCTAATAAAACTTGTAGTGAATGATCTTGGTCTAACTTATATTTTCTTCTCTGAAAGTATGTTTCATTTTAAAATTTTATTTTGCATGAAATCTTCCTGAATAGTGTCTTTGAATGCAATGCAATTTTCCATGAGACTTCCACAATCGTACATTTGATAGATTTCTTAAAGTTTCAGAATCAGAACACATATGTATGAGTTCAAAAGTTTATTAATTTTTAGGCAGACGTTTAAAATTTGTTCTTAAGAGAAATAAATATTATTTTTATAACGTAAGTATTGAAATATCAGTCAGATCAATTTTGGTATTTGTGAATGATGAATCATGAAGAGAGAAAGATATAAAAAAAGACAAAGAATGATCATTAATTGCTTCATCCGTCAAGAACTCACAAAATAAATTAATTGGAAAACAAGAAGTTACACGAAGCTAAAGCCGAATGAAATGCATGAACACACAAACAATGGAACAAATTCATTTGAAACAATTTAGAGCATCATTTGTGTCATATGTTGTTATAATAATAATATTATTTATATGTGTGTGTGAATCTGTATTTCCATAATTTTTATTTTTTACAAAGAAGTACTGATAACGAAATGCTGCCATCCAAACATAGACACTTACATTGAAAGTGAGAACTTATGGGTACAGAAGACAGTTTTTCAAGAGATGTGATCGTCCGAGATGAGATAATAATAAAAGGAATTAAGGTCTGTTTACTCAACTCGTAATAAATATTAGAAATTCTTCTGATGAGAAGAAAAATAAAACAACGTCCCCTTAGTGCCGCAAACGCAATCACTTTGGCCTCTATACAGCTTCCACTTCTCTTTGTTAACGTTGTGAAGCGTCGTTGATTTGTTGATTGCGCAATGGAATGGGAATCAACAATCTCCCGACTAAAGTTCTTTTATTATTTAAATTGATACATATTATGGATGATCATAAACTCAACGAAAACCATTCAGCAGAAGTCAAAAGACGAATGCCCTCGATGTGTTATCTTGTACAAGATTTTATTTTTATTTTTTGGTTTTTGTGCTTCTTTTGTAAGTGCTACATTTGTTGATGGTATGGCGACAGCGACAGCACGACACGAGAAGGAATAGAGTAATGTTAATCAACTTTGAGTGTTTAAATTTCAAATTTTCTTCATACTTGAAAGAAATTTTCTGATCTTAAATTCAAATCATCTCGCATATGTAGAGATTAAAGCGATCACTTACTGATCAATGTGTACAAACTTAACTAATAGTTTCAAGAACAATTAATGGTTTTTTTAATAAAATGAAGAAAAAAACTCTTCTAAATGAGATTTTTTTGAAATTAAATAACTAATCGCTGTATAAGAACTAAAGAAAAAGGAAAGAAAATTAAATTGTTTACTTGACTGTATGAGCTTCAACAACATTCATATATAAAATCAACAAATACATGCTCGACAGTAGCTCGACGGCGAGAAAAATCGTTGTTAATATTTAGTATATCCGAACCCTCAAGTCGTGAAACATACTGAGACTGATGAAAAGAAAATCCAAAAAGAATGAAGCTAGTAAGTCGCGCACGGTTTAAAATCTACTGATGTTGTTGCCTCTCGCGTTGTGTTAAAGTTGTGTTGGAGAAAAACCTTCTCCTTCACGAAAGAAAAAAAACTTGATCATCAGTTTAGTAACTGACGTTTAGTAACCAACCATTTGATATTTTTATTTCGTGAGTACATGTAGCAGAAGTTGGTTCACTATTCAAACAGTTCTTTTCTGTCTCTTCAACTTGATGGGACGACGATTTTAACTCTCATTCGCTCTCGTGCACTCAAACTCATATTGTTCGTGTTCTAAGGGATTCAGTTCTTCGGTTGAGCTACTGTTCTCCGGTCTATTAATTAATTTTTGTGATCGAGAATGGAATTTTCGTAGCATTAAACTTTACTTGTTGTTTAAATAATATCTTCAAAGATTGATGATAGAAAGAAAATATATTTAAGAGCAGAGACCTCTTGTGATAAGAACTTATTCGTCTATTTCTTATTTTAAACAAGATTAATTTTTGTGAATTCTGGCTGAAGTCATGGTAAAAGTATGATTTTATACATTTCATGACTAGAAGTGATAAAGTGGAAAAAATAAAAATATTTCGAGTTAAAGAACTCTCGCTGAATCAAGAAAGATTTTTCTGGTGTTTCTAAAAATATCGAACGAAGCACCGCGCAAGGAAAACTCTTCGATTCTTGTATTTTTTTCTTTTGATTATTGCTTCATCGAGCAAGGAACTGAAAGAAATAAAGAAAGAATAATCTTGTAAGAGAAAAACAATTCTCTGTTGTGTGCCTTTTTTGAGTGAATTTCTTCTTCTTTCGTGCTTTGGTGTGAAAATTTCTTTGCAAGCTCGCTAGGGTATTTTAAAAGTAAGGGAATTTGTCTACATTACATTGTTGCGTAGACGACATAAAAGTAAGGTAAGAATATTTTTGCTATTCCTTGAAATATATTAAAAAATTAAAAAAGAATAATTAATGCACAGATCGAATGATTACATTAATTTTTTTTTTCAATCATTTGCAAATAGATTCTAAATTTTACATTAATAAAGTTATTTATCCTTGGAAATTTCAATATTATTTAGTGTTTAATATATTATAGCTGACGTATGACGGATGTTTTAGGACATAACATTTATGGCATAAAATTGTTTTTCGTTCTATAATTTATCTATTTCTTATTTTATTTTCTGGAAACACATCACTTGAAGACGTAGCATGTAAATTACACTTAATAAAAAATCTAAGAAACTGCTACATTATTACAACTCGCGCTGATAAGGAAAAAACACTATTTTCTTCTTGAAATTCTCTACTCAATTCGGCCATTATCACTTTGAAAAATAATAAAAAATAAATATTGCCACGACGTAGAATATTGCTTACAAACGTGTAAAATTCGTGAAGAAAAAAATTCAAATTAAAAAATCAATTTGTGATTTACTCTTATTTCAACATCTTTCACATTACGATTAACTTTTGTCTACAAGCTAATGTACTGATACTCACTAATCAGAATCAAGAATCATTTGCGACACTGTTAAAAACTCAGTAAGACTCAATTTGAATTTGCGTCTTAAATTAAAATGATCAAGAAAGTTGATACATTTCATTGTACTCACTTGCCTGTTCATTCTTGTTGTGCTTTGGTCTGGTACTTTTTCATGCTCATCACTACGCCTTCTTTTTATGTTATCTTGAGATGGGGTTCATCGTCATATTTTCTGTCTGAATTTTCGTTTTTCTTCGATTCAGTGGGGAATGAGAATAATTTTAATAACTGACCGCGACTTGTGGCCACATTTTTGTTTGTTTCGCGGGCGTTTCAATAACTCACATGCGTTCTACACTCTTTAAAGATGAAACAGAATATTTCGGATATTTTTGCTTCTCTTTTTTCTCTTTTGTTTCTTTTTCTTTATTTTCTAACGAGAGATTTTCTTTCTTCGCAAACGAGCTTAATGATGATGATCCTCCCATGTTTACTAAATTTTCTGACCCTTGAATGTTTATAAGATGAAAAAAATCATTAGTTCCAATATTTACATATCAGTAGAGTGTTGTAAAGTCCCGATGCAAATAATGTGAAAACTTCAGTCGATAGTCGACCTAATACATAAAATATTACTTTAAATTCAAAAACGAAATATGGCCCAGCTGCGGACATTCAACGGTATAGTAGAAACATTTAAAATAGTTCATGATTCCAATTGAAGATGATGTTATGGTATTGGTGCAGCAAGCGTGTTCCGTTGAATGTAGATAAGAATTCAGAAATATATTTATATAAATAAAGGAATTTGTTCTTCATTCGTCTACAGAAGTGCTTACACATGCTTGAAACGATCTGCGCTAAATTTAATAACATTAGCTTCAGCGAAACTACTCGCAAAGGGTCAAAATACGTGCCATCATCAATGTAATGCGAATTTTCTATGACAATGAAGCAACTCGTTTAGTTTTCAATACTATTTTTCATTTTTTCAACAATAATGAAGAAATGATCGTAGACTCGGGGAAATGGATGATGAGTGACTAATGACGTTGAGACAAAAGAACAGATGACGTACTTTATTTGTAAGTGATAGCGCAGTGCTTGCCACAATATTATTCTTTCTACATGTTTGCCACAGCATGTAAGATTGTGAAACTTTTATTTCTTTTAACGACTCTAATCACTACTATTGTCGTGTGGTTAACCATAGCCTACAAATCACTTGGATAAAGTTGAAAATCGCTTAAAAATTATTAAAACTAAAACAAACTTTATGAAAATTGTTGATACCTACCATAAAAAATTGTTTAATTGCAAATTATAGAAAAGATTTTGCTCATGATGATCACTTTCAAAAGCATTATTTATTCTCATTCGAAACAGCTTCTGTTTCATACGATGGCTTTGTACAATTTGTCAACATTCACAACTGTTCTTATTTTTTTATTTTTCTTTTTTGGTTGATGCTTCATTGAAGGCAAGATTATGAGAGAATGTGTGATTGTTCGCTCGACGTTTATTAAACTTTGACATCTTGCAAAATGCTGGCAATAAATATGTTCATAATATTTAAATGAAAAAATCAGGAAACAAATCTTACTACTGTTTCACTTTGGACGTAGAATTTTTCTTTGAAGACAAAGTGATGTTATTAAAGAAAATTTTAATTCTTCTAGATATATTTATATATTAATGAAATGTTTTTAAATTGAAAAAATATGATGAAAAAAAATGATTTGGTCGATTTAGTTTATAGATTTTGATGGGCTGGGCGGATTCTTACACATATTTTCTTCTTTGTTCACTTTACTTAGTCATGAATATCAAAAAGTCAGGAATAATTTTAGAATCTCTTGACTGTTCCCTTTGTTCTTTTCGAATTGGTTTATTTGTTTTGGCTGTTTAGAGAAATAAAAATTATTCTTAACTATTTCTAATTACAATTGAACGCAGAAAATCATGGAGACTAAACTTTTATATATTAACTGCTTCTTTTCGTCTTCAAGGTCTAAAGCTTATAAAGATAATATTTGTAATCACCGGCACTAAAAAAATGTGAATGTGGACTTGACGAGCAGTAATTTATCTATTTATTTATTTGTTTATTTATTATTGCATTTAAGCTAGCTTTATAGGATGAACCTCAGGCTGCAGAATATTCTAGTTATATAAAAAAATTAATCTGTTATCAGCAGAATAACTTGAGTGAAAACTTTTCACTGAAAAGGGAATATTTTAAGATCATTAAATTAGCAATATTTATAGAATTTGTCAGTACTTTTTTATTTTCTATAAACAATGTGTTTTTTTCTGCAAACGTAGACTTCACCCTTGGACCCAATTTTGCATGATAAATAAAAATGTTTTTGCAACCATTTAGCATCCAAAACTCTTTCAAATGCAATGTCAACTTTTCATTGAAAACCACTCACAAGTGCATTTGGTCATTTCTCACAGCTACATATATTCTCTATTAAACTTCATTTAAATGGTTATTTCTTCTAATCATCTTGATTACGACTACGTACAAACATTCAATGAAGAAGTAACAAGTCTTAAAATATTTCTATTGCGACGACAAAAGAAAATGAATGATTGAATGGATTTGCACTTGACTTCAAAAGTTAAATGCATAAGCTAAAGGTTCGCGTAACTAAGAAACGACACAAACAGAAAACAACTAAATAAATGACCTTAAAGAAGGAAAAAAATCACTGTGATAATGTAGCAAATGCACTTTTAGAGACGTTTTCATGTGATCTCGTGGCTGGATGTTTGTCATTGTATTGGTAGTTTTCATTCGATGGGAACTTGTTACATTGAATCTTGTGAACTTCAGATCGTTTGAATCAGTTTTTTTTCGCGATTATTCAAGTTTCTTGATGAAAACTGCACTTAAAGCTGGCACTGCTCATTTATTACGTCATCTACTAATCTGTTATTTTTATTTTATATTTTTCACGATTCTAAGTTGAAACACGTATTATAAGTAGCATTCATAATTACATTTTTCCAGGCATTAGTATTTTTTTTATTGTTTTCTTGAGGAGTTCGAAAACTCCCATACAGTATTTGTTCTTATTGAAGCTTAAATAATTTAGAGGCAGCGTACAAATCTTTTGTCTGTAATGCAGTTGAAGTTTACTTTTCTGATTTTACTCAATACTTAGATAAGACAATACAATCGGAAATTTTTTAGTAGATAAAAAAAAACTAAACTTCTCTAATGACCATTTTCCTTGGCAACACGTGCCATGATTACCTTCAAATTTGTTTTATTTCAGAATTGCTTTTCGCCGTATTTGTTTGCAGTGAAAACTACAATACGATGGGCGGAAAATATCTTGCTATTTGTTTATTATTAGACATTGTGTGGTTTTTCCTTTCAGTGTTGTCATTTGAATGTTTGCAGAAGTGCAGCTGTCATAAGTGCAAGTCATATAAATACTTATAAGTTGATTGTAAATCAATTGAAAAGACCTTGTAAAATGATGAACACATTCATTCGACGTTAAGTTTCTATAGTTTACATTCTAAACCAAATCACATGATGAAGAACCGACTATCTCAATTTGATGATCTGGAAAAAGTAGAATGATTCTAAAGCTGATTTATTTTTCAACTTTTTTTTTACCCATTTTTCTTTTAATGATGCAAATGTTTTCAAGCTTCTTTGATTTTTTGGAAATATGAAAGAATTTTACAGATCCCGAATCTAGTTTTAAAGATTAAATGCAGAAATTGTAGAACGCTGAATGGATGTACCTCTTACTAATACAATTGCGCTCTGATACAAATTTTTAATTGCGCTCAGTGCTCTAACACTTGAAACAAACGATCAACAAAGTCGCGATTTAAAATGAAAACCACACACTGAATGCACAAAATTCACCTTCAAATGCTTGTTTTTCACATGCATGTGCGCAAGACTATCGCTATATATACATATATACTGGACGCTTTAAATATACAAATTGCGATTTTCTTTTCAGCTTCAGAATATGAGAGTCGACTTTTTTCCATTATGTAGGATCAATTATCGTGATGTCAATAATGATGATACATGATCTAAGTTAGTTTTTTTTTATTTCAATGACTATATGACACATTTAAGAGCAGCTTAATAAATAATGAAGATTGTGGTTGTTAAGTAAGTAAAAAACAAACAAAAAACATAGTAAAGAAAAAAGATCGTTGAAATTTACCGTGTAGTAGCTGCCTAGTAGAATGGTATGAATTGTTTAAGCTTTCTTGAACATAATATGAAGCTAGTTTATGTATAACTAAGAACCTTATATTCGTTAACTTTTTATAACAAGGTTTTGTTCCATTAATCATTCTTCAAGATCATTGTGACATATTTTATTTGAAGAAATAATCGGTTTGTGCATCACTGATCATGATCCATTCAACGATACCTTACAATTGTACGATGTCTTTAATTGAAACAAAAACATTTTGTCGTTTAATAAAAGCAACGAATTAACATAATTTGTTTGTCTTGTTCGCCTTACTTTTATTTTTCTTGGTCGTGGCCGCGCCAATCAATTCCGGTATAAAAGTAACAAGTCAAAGTTCATGGTATTGCTTTTCATTTATGGTAAATGTCTAAAATAAAATAATTACCGAGGTCTTGTGACGTGTGACTCTGCGGAAATGTATAGTGACACAATTATCGAGAATCTGAAAGGTTCGTTTTCATAAAAAAGCAGATAAGTACATATGTTATGATAAAGATCAGCCTCAAAACAAATTAAATTCAGAGAAAAAACCATATTTGCAATTCATCTTGGAACATGTTTCAATTTTGAATTGATTTATTTCATTAAATGTTAAATAATTAGTTCATTCCAATTTCTAATTCAAAAGATTAATTGATTAAATAACTCATTTTGCAGTGAAAAGTATTCCTATATTATCTTCATTCATCTAAGTAATGCAGTGAGAAATGATTATTTTTCAAAAATGATCTTTCAGCACAGTTTCATAATTACAAATATGTAGGTATTTTATTTTAAATAAAAAACAAAAGGTTTTTGAAAAAAACTATGGTTTTTTTCGTCATTGTTTTTCTGAAAGGAGTAAATTTCGACGATAACTGTAGGAGTGTGCTATTCGTGTGGGTTTCTATTTAGTGTACTTGGCTACTGTTTGTGTGTATACTAGCGATCTTTATCCAAATAAATACAAAATTTTGCATCAGTAATAATTAAAAAGCGTTTTTTTTTTGAAAAAAGATATCTAAACATAATAAATGTATATTCAAAAAGTGCACGAAAAGGGCAGAAATAATGTACAAAGCAACCGAGGTCACTTATGTTATTTCTTCTTCGCGTGCACAAACGTGAACATAAGACATGTGCAACATTAGACATATTAGACTTATTGTCAAAGAAAAACATTTTTGAATACTGCTTATGACTTGCAGCAAATGATTTTTTTCAAATTAATATCGATACCTACATAGTTTTTATAAAAAAAAGTCATTCACACTTGTAACTTCAAAGAGTTGATAAAAAAACTTTAAAAAAATATGAATACCTACTTATCTTAAACGACGAATTACTGAAAAAGTGTCATTATAACAAAATAATCATTTCAATGATAATCTATGAAAACATGCATGGTTTTTATTTCTTTATGAAAGATTACTTTCTTAAAAGATTCTCACTTCGTTATACACTTCCAAATTATGTTCTCTTCATTTAAAAAAAATACATAAATAAAATAGACGCATACAAGTAAAATACTCATATTTAATCTACAAATCACATTACAATGACGGAAATGACCAAAGGAAAGAAAATTTTAATCTATTTTTGGTTTTCCAGCAAAAATTTAATATACATAACTATCCAAGTTATTAACAAAATCTTCAACCAACCTGACTGATTTGATCGGTTAAATGTTAATTGAACAATAAAATCAAAATTTAGAATTTTAAATAGATATCATATTTAGTATAATATTACAGCTTTAATTATAAAAAAAATCGGATTTAAGAAATTTATTTCAGTGTGTATAAATGTATTTTATATTCTAAATAATTTTCTTGCATTTTGCACATTTTTCTTTTTCCGCTTACAAAGAGAATGAAGTATTTAGATACTTAAATTTCATTAATAATAAAATGTTTAATGAAATAAGTTTTGTTGTGAGAGTTCAAAATTCATTAAAAGTGATTTATCAAAAGAAAAACTGTTCATTTATTTTTATTGCAAAAGTTAAAAAAATAATTATAGTATTTGCTATACTTTAGAAGCTTTTAAGGAAGTAAATCGAAGAGTTTTCTTTTTAATTTGAATCTTGAATTATTATTATTCGCTTCTAACATATGGCAATGACGTATAATAAACGTGTCAGTAATTTCAAGGCCAAACTTTATCGTTAAAATTATGTCAGTCAATAAGTTTGACTTTTCTTTGCATGCTATCTTCTGTTCCACAAATGATCAAAAAAGTTTTCAAATATATTTGTATCTAAAACGTACGTATTTTTCAACAATTTTAATGAAAAGATATCAAATACTTTGAAGAAATTTTGAGTAATTCATCCCATTTTTTTCATTCTTTCTCATTGTTTACTTCTCTGTGTGTATAATAAATATACAAAAATAATATGATCTAAGTACCTATTGTGGCTTAACCATCCTTTCATCACAACTCTTACTTAAATATTTGTTAAATATGTTTCTTCTTAATCTACCATACATCAAAGCAAGATGAAGTGTCGCCTCTGTTAACGTTTCTTACGAAACGTTGAAAAAATAAAAATGGCTTCTTGAAGATTATCTTATTAGTTCTTGTTGGTGAAAAACGCATTTTTAGTGTTGAGTAGACATGGATATTTATAGCATTTTTTTTTAAATTAATATAGTCTTGGTGTTTCATTCGTCAATTTTCAATAATTTTATTAAACATAAGCCTATCATGAGTTGTCTTAGATGATGAGAAAGAAAAGTTTATGTATTTCTTTGTGTTCTTAGTAGTGATGATGATGATGATAATTGTTTAAGCGTATGATGGATGCATTCATTAATTCATTGTAAATATTATAAATTTAAATTCTTTAAGAACTTCTGCTTTCAGTAAACGATGCTTTTTTTTCTTCTTTGGTTTCGTCGTATTTTCACTTTTCATATGTCTAGTTTTCCCTTTCACAAGTAAAGATTTGACATTACTTGGTATAAGTAAATGAAAGAACAAACAAAGAAGCAAAAGCAAAAGAAAACGCAAACTCTGCATAAGAATCAAGCGAAGAAAATCTAAAAATAAATGCAAAAAATACATCGAGCTTAGCCTGCTTGTTAGCTTCGGTAAAGAATTAGGTCAAGTATATCATGCATCTCTTGAATGCTTCTCTCTACGCCACTCACACAACCATCATATGCAAGCATAGATTTCGGATTTGTAATAAAATATCGACTTTAGATGGCTTAAACTGAAGTCTCCTTCAATCGTGATAGGCTTCTCGAATGTCTTTCTAATTGAATGCGAATTAATAATCTTTTATGGTGTGCATAAACAACCATATATGTGGAAGGCAAAATCAAATATATGCATTCTCAATGTATTAACAACAGTTGCATTTGTGAAAGAAAATAAATTGCATAACAAATTTAGTAAAGGCCTTTGCTATCCAGTATCTCTATTGATCGCTAACGTGCGTTTTTGGAAAATTCAATGTCATTTCAAATTTAACACTGTGTTGAATGCTTAGTACTTATATAATGAGTTACAGTGCAGTGTCAAGTTTGTCGCTGCGGTTTTGAAGTGCATGGGTAATCTAGCAATTGAAAATTGCACAAATGTCGTATTTACATGTTCAACATTGAAAAACCTCTTCTCCTTGATGTTTCTTTATACCAGGCAAGCAGTAAACGTAGACTTCTTGATTAACTTAATATCATAATTATTTTCACTGACAATAGGTCAGTTTTGTCATTTTTGTTAAGTTTTAATTCAAGTAAATTAAATCTTTTTATCGGAAAGAAAAGAAAACGCTATTGGAAAAGTTAAGACAAAAATGATTTTATCATAAAAATTATATCATTTTATGTTTGATTCAAACACTAAATAGATATGTGTAGATGTTTTTTAAGTTGAAATTCTTTTAAGAAAATCATAGTTGACCGTGTTAGGATTTTCAATGTTAAATGGATAATGTATGAAAATAATTTGCTGCATTTTTTCAGTGATGAATGATCTATGAATGCTGTTAAATAAATAACACTGAAATTTACACACAAATATCGAGACTGGCAAAACTAAACTTCTCATTAAATTTACAAATAAACGTTTTCATTTGAAACTTCAAAAATCTGAGGACAAACATAGACATCCAAATATTGCCTTCGAAAATTAATTTAATATCAATGAATTTTCCTCTTAAATAGGTATTTCAATTGGTAAAATTAGTTTGAGAAATTCTAAACTCGAAAGCATTAGAAAGCAACTCTAGACTTATTTGTCTTTATGAAAATATTTTCCCAAAAAAAAAATGTAATCAATAAATAAATGAAAAATCATCATCAAAGTGATCTTTGTACTAATATGTGCTTAATCAGTTTTCATGAAATAAGAGGATATTATACATATTAAATATCTATTATAAATAAATTTTTATTCACTATTGTTGAACTCATCTCTTCTGAGAGTCAGAAAGAAGAAACCGTCAAAAATAATCGATAAGAAAAGGCATTGAAAAGCATGAAAGTTCAACAAACTTTTTCTTTCTTCCCCTGAATAATCACATTCGTCAAAAAGTCTGCATTTTGTATAGAATTTCGATAAACATATTTATTTATTTATATTTTATGAGGCCCTCGACCGTTGGTGAATGTATGAGTTAAAATATTTAAGCAACTGCTGCATGAATGGCATGCAAACAAAGAAAAGATTTGCTTAAAAATAAAAGTACTTTCCTAACACAATATGAATTTTACAAAAGTTTATCTTGTTGTTTTAAATATTATTATTTATATGTACCTCATCAAATTCATTATAATTTTCATGTAATGTTAAAGCTAACTAATACCATAGAAACGAAAAAATATCAAAACAATTTCAAAATATTTTATGCCGTGGCTGTCGCACCAGCATTAGAAAAAAAATCGAGATTATTCAAATCGTAACAACAAAAATTATCGCTCACTCTCGCGGAGATATGAATTGTGTATGCTTTGAGTGGTGGTGAACGAACGACAACACATGTGTGCCATTGAATCGGGAGTCTAAGGTTCATCTGAGATGAAAGCGAGAACAATGATTGAGTGTATGACTGTAGCAATTCTTCTTTTTCTTAATCATATCTTATGACAAATATGACTCAGAAATAATTACCAACGAAGTTGAGCAAGAAAGTAGAAAATGTTTCGACGAAATCCATTTTTCATGATTCATAAGCTTTTCACTCAGATCAGAAAACGTTCAAATGCAGACAAAAAAAGAAAGAGAAAAATAAAATCGAATCTAGATATTTGTGTACAATTTCACTTTTATCCTTCTTTGCCTTCTTTTTATCAATGTATTGCGTCAATGCATCAACTTACCATTGAGTTCGCAAGAAAAATCAATAAAAAATGTTATTCAATTTTTGATGCAAGCAAAAGCATATCTGAATATAAAAGAATTCAACCCATAGAATGGTTCGTTGTTTCTTAAGAAAAATCTTAAATCTGTTCACACTCTTATCAAGTGAGAAGAAAAACATCGAAATGTTCTGAAAAACATTTTTCCTCTTTATGTCTGCACAAAATTTTTCTACGCAAGATGCGAAAAATTTTCGGAAATCGATCGAAATGAAATAATATTGTTTCAAAATAGAAAAGGAGAAAAAAACATAAGGTGAAGAATCATATTCGAACACTGATACATAACATTAAAATCTCATGATACTCGCTGAATGGAATTGAAATAAAAATGGCTAAAAATAAAGTTGTAAGAAGCATGAATCTTCTTCAACATTCCTTGAGCATGTTGAAGCATCAAAGCGAAGAGAAACTGTCATCTTCCCGACTGAAAAACAGAAGAATACAGAACCCCAGCAAAGCACAATTCTACGCATACACCCACGCCTTACCATTTTTATTTTATTTGGCCTTATCGCTGTTGCTCTCTTTCTTTCTCTCTCTTTCATTATATTTCCTTTTACTAATGTGAATAATGGTAACTCACACAAATAAATATCATTGCTTGAAACATCTTCTACCCCATGCCATGTGACTGTCACCCTAGTCAAGCAATCTAATCATTATCTAAAAACAACAGCAAAAGCCGCACTGCTTATGCTTACAATATCGTTGATCCTAATGTATGATGAAAAATCTGTGTAAGAATGAAAATTCAACACGCACACTCAAAGTTATGCGAAGCTGGTAATTTGTAATTAGAATTTTTTTTTCAAATAGGTATATATATTTTTTTTCTAAGAATTGATATCTAAGTATAAAAGTGAAAAAGAATTGCTCCATTTATGGGAAAACATATTTTTATTAAAGCCTCAAATTATAGTAGAAGCATAAAACACTACACACAAACATAATCACATATCAACATAAATCGTTGCTTCGACAACACGGAATGAAACAAGCGACAGTCAACCCCACACAATTTGAATGTTCGTACTTGGGCTTTAACGCAGCAACAAAAACAACAAGAAAGATTTTCTCTCTCTTTTTCTATCTCTCTCTTTCGGTGCTGTGAAAATTGTTTTCAACTTTTCTTCGCCATCCCTTTTTCAGTTGCGTTTTCGTTTTCCACGATCGAAGACCTAAGCAGAAAGAGCTGTTTAACAGTAAAAGTTTTATTCTCTCATTTTCTGCTTCTCTTTTGAACTCACCGTGTAAGAAGAAGCACGAAGAGTATTTTCGTGAAAAATTCTTTTCATCAGTGAAGAAAAAAAAATACAAATATTTATTCCTTCTGTCTCGTGTATTGGTGTACATGAAGAGAAAACTTACAACAAAACATTGTGGAAAATCTGGTAGAAATTGAAAAGAATTTTAACGACACCAACTGACTTTATTTTCTCAACAACTGCTTGTGAAAAGGAAAAAAATTATTAAGAAAAATAAAATTCTTTACCGTCCGGTCGGTGCTCTCCGTGGAAAATTAAAAATAAATAGGGCAGGGCTGGTGTAACCGATGGCAAAGAAGTAGAGGTTTAAAACACTTTCAAGTTTTTCCGTAGACCAGACAAAAATGTTTAACTGGCACTTCAATCTTCCTTTCACAACGTCATTTTTAGAAACATCAACCCTGTAGACTGTACACCTTTTTCTAGGCAAATTATTTTTTCAATATTTCTCATAAAATAATAAAATAAGTTTTATTAAGTTTAAAAACATTAAAGGGACATTTTCCAGCGCTTGTTTCTGGTTAAGATAAATAAAAGAAATTCTCCTTTTTAGTAATTAAAAAGCTTTTGCAATTAAAATAAATTTCTATAAAAAGAGCATCAAAATTATTGACACGAATTTTTGATCGGATTCAAACGAAAGAGATTTAAAGTTTAGTGACCTTCAATAAGAAATTAAAATTAGAGAATGAAGACAAGACTAAAAAGCATTGACTAACAGAACAGCGAATACTGTTTGTTATCAATAAATCGATAAGAGGTATTGCGAGTTAAATACTGAAACAAAGTCATAAATTCATGAAGTTGAAATGGTATTGAACGTTTCTCTTTTACTTTTCTTTCAATTTGATTCTAACATTTGGTTGAGTTGCAGGTGCCGATAGTCGTGAAAAGTAAAATATAAAGTGTATAGAAACTTGACACACGTTTTTTTTTCATTTAAGCAATTTTGGTTTGTACACCTCGTGAAAAACAAATGAATGATATTACTAAGAAAGCTCTAAAATACATTGCTGTTTTATGTTTTATGTGTTAAAACCAAGAAAAGTGAATAAGAAACATTATCGGAAAAAGACTAAATTGAAAAACGAAGGAAAAACTGTGAGCAAATATCATCAGCGGCAAAAAAAAGTGTTTTATTACAGTGTTAGTTGAGTTTTTAGAGAAGGAAAACCACACATACATTTGCAAATGGTGGAAAATCAAAATAAAATAGGAGTTTTTTTAAGTTAAACACAAACTCACCGTTGTTGAGAAAATTCTCGTTGAAACAGGAAAGAGTTTTGTTCTCATGTTGCATGTGTCAAAGTGGTCGTGTTGGATTTTATCTGCTGTTAAATAAATATTGAACGACGACTGCTTCGAGGCAAAAAAAGAGAAAAGAAACAAACTCAAGTAATAATAAATTTAAGTTGCATCAAAAAAGACAATTAACAATTTATTTACAACTCAATTCTTTGGTTACGTAAATAATATTTTGATCTCAATTTTGTGAAATAAATGAGTGAAAAAGAAAAATTGAGAAAAATACTTCAAATCACATTAACAACAAATTGTTATTAACTATACTAACTATACACTTCATTCTTTCATGAGGATTAAATTTTATAACTACTAATTCTGAGGACATCAATAAAAATGGTAAAAAACTTATTCTCTTTCTCTCTGTTACAAGTCGAAAATAAATTAAATCATTTCAATGACGTCATCAGACAAAAACTCAAATTAAATTTTGCAAAATTTCATTAACTTCATACAGAAGTGAGATGACATTAAAATGAATGTTTTAATTTAATACATACAAGGAAATAATTCCAAAATGCTTAGAAGTTAAAAAAAGAAATATATGTATGCTTCTTCTTTTTTTGCTTTTATTTTTCTGTGTCCAACTGATAAGCGATTTTTTATGAAGCATTTTTTTACCACAAATATACGAAGTACTTGATAAAAATATTTTCTGAGGTTGTTGTTTCTTCTCCTTCTTCGCATGTTTTAAAATTAAATATTTTTAATGTTTCTGACCTTTACCTTCTTCTCTTTTGATAAAAGATAAGAAATCTTGGGAATGTTGTTGCAGCATATATTAAAAGAATGTCTCATGTTTTTCTTTCAGAGGTTGATACGAGAAATTAGAAACTTGATTCAAGTTGAACCATGGACTCTGCTCCATCAATGGTTCATCGTGCTGGCGACACATTAATTGTACGTCGAGTTGTAAGCGGTGATCAATTGGTGTTAGATCAAAAAGGCCAATCAGTTCAAGAGTGTAACGAAGCAAGCAATGCGCTCCTAGACTTAAGAAAAGATCCCAAAGATCACACTCAAAACGAAGTTCAACAGTTTCAACAAAATCATTCACAATATCCATTGCCAATCTCCTTGCCACCTGCAGTTATTGCTGCCTTGACATTCCAAGCGGCAAACACATTTAAGCTTGATAACACTCGAAGTGACAATTTTAATCAAGATCGTCAAGATTACGATCAGGAATTGTCAGGAAATAAAAGTGATTCCGATGCCAACCTTCCCCAATGCAAAATTAAAAGAAATTATTCATGCAATAACTGTTCCTTTTTCACTCAAAACCCACGAAAATTTCTCGTGCATTTGCGTGATGTGCATGGTGAGAAAATAGTTATCAACGAATGTAAGTTTTGCCTTTATGCGTCACGACATTATCAAAAGCTTGTTCGTCATATGAAAATGGTTCATGGCTCTACCGAAGGTATAAATGAACCGGGACACTTTCGAAGACGAGAAAAACGACGAAGAATGAGTGCTGATGCACGACAGAAAATTTCGTTACCCGCATTTCCAACATCAACAAAGACAGTTACCGATTTGACAGCAATCAATCAAATGCTACAATTACAAAATCAATTGCACATGCAATTGCAAGCACAGCTTCAATATCAAGAGTCCCTTCCACAAGATATTCTAAGCGATGATGAAATGGAAAGCCTCGATTTGACGATGAACATTTCGCCAAATGGCACAAAAGTCTTCAAATGCATCATCTGTGAATTTTCAACTGTTGATGAACCGCAGATTATTCAACATGAGAAGGACAAACACAGTGATACAAAATTCTATCGTTGCGAAAAATGTTCATATGTGACTCATATCAAAGCTAGATTTAGCAAGCATGTCAAGTATCATTCAATGCCAATGATAAAATGCATGTTGTGTGACTTCCGAACACCGGTAAGCTTCAGCAATCTATAAAAATGCATCTCAATGCAATGTTTTGCGTGTAATTTTTGTTTTTTTTTTAAATAATTTTCTTCTCATTTTATTTGCATATACAGTACAAGTGGAATCTTGACCGACATATGAAAAATCATGGCGGAAATGGACCATTTAAATGTTCTGTGTGTAACTTTACAGCCGACATAAAACAGAGCCTTACAGTTCATGAAATGAATCATCATATACCGCCATTAGCTAATAGCGTTGATATTGAAAGAACAATTGATGATACGCCACCTGAAAATATGAATATTTTTGATATGGTAAGTTAGATGATATTTATAAATATATTTTAATTAGACTTTCAAGATTAAGAACGATCAGATGTTGTGTCACGTGAAGGTCGGAGCATTGACAATAAACTTGAAATGCTTTAAATTATTGGTTAACGTTACAATCTTTAAGGCATTTATTAAGATTTAATTACATGTGACACGATATTTGATAGACTTTAAGGTTTTACAAAACTGAGCTTTAAGCAACAATTTAGCAGTTAGGTTTTTAACAATCTAACATTTTTTGAAACATTTTTTAACTCTTTTGTGAACATTTAAAACTTCTTTTTTGTTTTTTTGTTTTTTTGTTTTGTAGTTTGCCATCTCTAATATTATGCAAAATAATGAACAATTGTTCATCGACTCTTTCCAGAATGACTCGAGTAATTCTAAGGAAGGCGATTTACAGTCGAATTCAAGTCCAGGCTCCAAACGTAAAAAGCCTATGCCTCCATTGATTCCAATTAAAATGGCACCAAATTCTTCAGCGATGAACTTGTCAAATAAATCGGATTCAGATGGTAATCATGAATCAAGTGACGCAGAAGATGGTGCGGAATCCGAGAGACAACAGTATAAGATTATAAGTTCACTTTTGCAAAAGCCAGAATTGAGTGTTGAAAGTGTTTACAAGTCCGGCGCGGGACCAAGCACAAGCGATAATCTAGCAAATTTAAAGAAGAAAAGTTCGTTCTTTGATGTATTACGGAAGAAGTTAATTGAGGGAAATGCAACAGGAAATGATGATAAAGATCTTGCTTGTAAATGTGGCTACGAAGCGAAGACATTATCGGATTTAATAATTCATCAGAAAATGTGCAATCATGATAAGGCAATGTTATTAGCAATGGGTTCAACTCGATGCCAATATTGTCGGTTAAGATGTAAGTCCAGCCATGAGCTTGGATTGCATTTACAGAAGTGTCCAGAAGCACAAGCTGTTATTGAGTGTTTGGACTCGTCATCAGAGGCGAATGGCGATGATAAAGCAATGGAAGACTACATGTCTGATGAAGCTGCCATCGATAATCCTAATGCAAGCGATCGTCATCCAATGGAGAATAGAGTTTTTGTTTGGAACAAAACTAAAAATGAACCATCTGACACTAACGATGAACGAAATGACGATTCGGATGATAATAATTTGGTGGTGAATGAAGATGACGATTTACCGGAAACTCCAACATTAACTGATAGCGAGTATTTGGGAGTAGAATCAGCACCCGGCTATGGAGAAATAACAAAGAAAATTGAATCTGGCGATGAAGTTGCAAACACTGCAATGAAAAAAGTTTTCAAATGTCCTCATTGTTCATTCTGGGCTTCAACAGCATCGCGATTTCATGTACATATTGTGGGTCATTTGAATAAAAAACCATTTGAATGTTCTTTATGTGCTTATCGTTCTAACTGGCGATGGGACATCACAAAACATATTCGATTGAAGTTGTTGCGCGATCCTCAACACAGCGAAGCTAAAGTTCTGATGAACGATGAGACGGGTCGAAGAAACTATTCAAAGTATAACAAATACATCACTTTGATGAGAGTTGTCGACAAAAAGCACGATGGAAAGCTTTCGAAATCTGGTGTGGTATCGTTGAATTACTCACCAAAATGTTCCCTAGTGCAAGAGAACAACATTCAATCTCCACCATCATCAGCGTCAACGCCATTATCGGTTTATTCCGAACCTCAATTGAATCTTCAATCATCGGCGTCTTCGCCTCTAAATGTTAGTTCTATGCTTCTTGAACATCTCTCGAAAGATATGAATTTCTTGAAAAATCTTCAGAATTTCAACATTGTTGCACATGCTTTCAATTCACAAAATATTCTTCAACATCAACAGCAACAACATCAACAACCAGAATTACAAGAAGCAGAAAAATCAAAAGAAACGGAAAATGCAAAGAAGACACATTTCAAGTGCAAAAAATGCAATTTCAAGTAAGTTCAATGTTTGACTTTACTATGAAATATTGCTACTTATCTTATTAAAATGTTATTTTTAGGCATCCTGATCGAGAGGTCGTGTTGGAACATGTAAAAACGCACTATCGCGAAGATGGAACGCCACAAGAAAAGCCTTCAAACACAGGAATGGAACTAGCTGCCCCTCCACCGCCTCTGCCAATACAAATGCCATTTCAAATCATGAATAATCTTTTAAACGGACATGCTGGTACATCAACATCGACAAATGTTCATAACAGAAACCTTCTAACAATTGGTGGTGGTGTAAATCAAACACAAGCTAGTAACTCAAATGCGTCCAGTTCACAGCAAACACTCAATTTTAATTCTCAAAACACTTTATCAGTGATACCAACGTCGTTGTCGTCCCACGACGGTGGTAAAAGTAATAACGGTATGCCGGAGACAACCTCGACGAACACAAGTTCGTTAAAAGGTTCTTTTCGTTGCGGGCATTGTGGCCAAATTTCTAACTGGAAGCATGTAATTCAGGTATATACTAACAGCCAATCAAATGCTTCCGTCCGTAATTTATTCAGCTCTGGGGAATGAAAAAATCGTATCCCTTGAAACCAAACCAAATCCATTTGAAGGCAACAACAATAACGATTATGAATCCGAGAAAAATTAATTGAAACGATCACCGAGAATGAATCCATCATTACATATAGGCTACAGTTTTAATTATCTACAATTGCACATAAATATTTATGTATCTATTTAATATTTTTCTAAATTTGGTGCAAATTGCAATAATCTAGAATGAAATCCTTTAAAGACAAAAACTCATGCAATGAATATCTTAGTTCTTATTAACAACAAAATTAAAAAATAGTTTATGTTCAATGTCACGATTCCAAATTTTAGTCGATTTTTACGTCTGTATGATTAAAAGATATTTTTATATAAGTCAAGTTTATCTTAGAAAAACGTGACTCATTATGCATAAATCCTGTTAACATATCATTCCTTGAAATTTATTCAACGACAAAGAAATAATTAAACCAGAAATAAATTGGATGAAAATATTCTGACACTGAACTGAACCATGCACATAACGTTTAAGAACCTTTAACAATATGCTTCAAATCGGTTGAGGTGGTGATTAAACCTTTATTCAACAGAACATTTGTTGAATTTGAACTATGTATAATTAAATTAAGGGAAGTTAGAAGGTTAAATTCATAAACGCAAAAAAAACAAATGATGCAGCTTGACGAAACAAAATTAGCAATTCATTTCCTGTACACTACTTTTTGTCTTATCGGTGAAATATTCAATGGTTTTGGTCTTTTATCATTTGTCTAACAGCTCATACTAAGCCTTCGATTGTTAACCAAATTTTTCAAATAATGTTTTTTTGTTCTTAATAATTTTAGCGCCATTGCCGTTTAAAGCACAATGGAGACATCCGCATCGAAATAGCTGGTCAGAAAAGTGAAAAATCAATTCGACCAAATAGCAATCAACATCATTTCATGCAATCAACCCCATCAACATCGACTATGGTTAATCAAATGTCATCATCAACAATTGATAAAGGGTTCAAGCCAATTATCTTACCACCACGAATCCCACCAGCTCTAATTCTCAACCCAAATATTACAACCATCATAAGTCCTATAAGTAGTGAAGCCAATACACAGCTTGTTGACAATCATAACAAAGAAATATCTTTGGCTTCTATGTTAAAAGTAGAAATAAACAGTGGGGAAGATCAAGATAAAGTTGAAACTGAAATTCCAGCGAATACAATATTTGTTCAACAAGGTGAAATGTTAGGAACAGAAGCATCATTACTGGTTAATCTCAATCAACAAATTGGCCAGAAAGCAAAACGTTATAAGTGTGAAATGTGTCCTTACGAGACAGATTCCAAATCACAATTCCAATATCATTCGAGTTTTCATAAACCTAGTCGCAATGAAAGTTACCAATGCAAATATTGTTCGTATAATGTTTCGAAACGCCACTTATTGAATCAACACATGAAAATGCATACAGCATGCGGAAGTGGTGGAAATTTAGATGAATTAAATGAAGTTCAAATAGGCGCTTCAAACATAGAACAGGGCAATCAAGAAATTCTTACAAATGTTAACGAACGGTACATGCATTTCTGTTCAAAGTGTCCTGGACGTTATTTGTCATTAAAGGAAATTATCAGTCATCTAAAGCGTCATGAAGTGAATTCCATCCATAAATGTGATTATTGCACATTTTCGTCATCTGATGACTCGGATGTGAAAGCACACAGTGCTGTTCATACATCTTATTATCAAGAAAAGACTAAAGAATTTATGGCAAAATATAAGCAAGCCACTGATTATCCAAATCCAGAATTATATACAGCAAAACAAGCTTTGGATGATTCAGGTGCTAATGATGATGTTTGGGTTGTAAAAAAGGCGAATGAACAGCAAAAGAATCGTGAACAAGAAAGTACTTCTTCTGATGAAAACAAAATAGATGAAAAATGTTTATATTGTCCATTCCAAGCGACTTCCTTAGAGGTATTGAAGAACCATTTACAATTTCATTACGCAATCAGTAATCAAAATCGTCCACAAAAATGCAAATATTGTGACTTTTCATGTGATCACTTTGAACGTCTTCGTGAACACAATCAACTTCATTTTTCGCTTTTGCTCAAGGGGAGTAAAAACTTGGATATTTTCACATCTTTTCGAGGTCTAGAGTTGAACATATCGAAAATAAATCCAAACTCTAACGATGCTAATAATAATGTTAATGGAGAGAATTTAATCTTCAAGGAAAAAGACGTGACAATTGAAGAGCCTGATAATGCAAACAAAGAGAAAATTATCATTGATGTTTGAAATTTAAACATATTTATTATTTAGTTACATAGTTCTATTAACAAAATTTGAGAGAAACATATATCTAATTACTTTAGAAATTTTTGATTGGGTTTATCTTTTATAACTTTAAATTTACCAATTTATTTATTCACTTATAAAAATACTTGTAAACATAAAATTTAACATTTTCAAAGTAAGGTTTTTGAGGGCATTTTCTTTAAGGAAGCTAATAATTATGTATATTTTTATTCATTCATAGTAACTAAATTAAAAAAAATAACTCGACCTTAAGTTTAACTGCTCGATTTGAAGATATCTAGGAATCAATCTTGAGTTATTATTAATATTGTCATTAAATTCATAAATCTTAATGAAACTATTTTTCTTGTTTATAAATTAACCAATTTTCTTTTCATTTTTTAAACACAAGCCAAAAGCAATAATCGCATTAATTCTATGAAGATATCTATCCACTTGTAAAACGATTGTAAATAAGAAATGAACTATAAATTAGATGTATTAAAGAATTCATGGAAATTATGAAAATAAAATGTACCAGCGTAAAAATGAACCAAAGGAGAAAAAACCAAAATGAATATTTTGATGGCAAAATCTAAAATAAGAAGTATCTGTCTAAATATTTAGAAAAAAAATTCAAGAGTTATATTTAAATGAATTTCGAAAAATATTAAGTAGGTTATTTTATGATCACATTGATGCAATTCACTGTATGCAATTTTATGTAACAATAACTGTATAAAAGGAAAGAAAAGATATCTTATTTCTTACTTTTGTGTAACTATTTATTTCAATTTCAGTTTTAGAAAGCAAGAAAAATTGGATAAAATATTTTTACTATTTTTACAGACCAAAGTTTACATATTCCTCAATGGTACTTTTACTTGAATAATTGTCGTTATAATGTATGTTAACCATTAAGTTACAATAGTTTTTATACTTTCGAATGGTTTCATCATTAACTTCAGGTACAGAAATTTGTTCACATGAATCTTTATAGACGGTCAGACTATCCAAAATAAGTGAATTTTTCTTTGCAATTCTTTCGTTCGTTATCGATGATGTTGCCATAATTTGTGGAGTTGATTTCTTTTGAATGTTGACATATTGTTTGTATTTGAACATAGACTGTTTGTCAGGCATATGAAGTTCGAAGCCATAAACCTTTTGACAGGATGGAATTGCGTTATTAAGTGTTCGGAAGTGTTTGTCAATGCCTTTATTCTGAATATTTATCGTTAGTTTTAACGGAAAGCTTTGTGTAGTATCATCTTCTTCGCTTGAACTATCGGTATCATCTGATGAACTGTTGGAGCTAGTAATAGATGTTATGGAATTTTGAGCATGACCTGTGGCTCTTTTTCCAGGTTCAAATGGAGAGAAATTTGTGCGATAAGTTGGCATGAAATTTCTTGCAAACTGACTGATTTGAAACGCGATGTTTTCTTCTAAAGACGTTAGCTGATATGTTAAATGATAATTCGAATACAAGTCGATCATTTCAAGATCGAGTGAATGAATTCTTATTAACTCTTTGACAATTTTTTTGGCTATGCTTGTAGAATATGGAAGATTTTTACGAACAGTTTCAGAATAAAATACTGTTAAAGGCTTTTCCAAAATCTCGAAAATTCCAACAGGATTGTGAAGAAAATAATCATTCGTCATTTCCCATAAGTTTTCATTATCTTCAGTTGATTTTTTTGGAACAAAATGACCTAAAAACAAATTAATACTTTGTTGTTTCTCTTGATCTGAGAAAGTATTAGAATAATATCGAGATAAGTTCTGCATAATGTCAGAGCCAGCAGTAGTCCAAGCGGCTGGTTTACGATAAGTTTTAATACGATGAACTAATTGTGAACCACCATATTGCAGAGCGAGTGTGTCACCATGTATTTCATATAGAGATTCTAGCATTGTCACGCAATCTGAATCAAATTCAAGTTTTGGAGGTGATTTCAAGAATCCCATTTTATGTAGTTGATAAGCGAGAGCAGTTCGACCCATAGCAAATTGTGCAGTGTTTGTCCGATCTAAGCAATCAATACAATTCGTTCGTATTACTCCAGTTTGATAAAGAACGTCATTACCATCTTGATAAAACATCCCAGTTTGTTGAATTACAGTTTCAGCAATTGCTGCTAGCGATTCCATCACATTTTTGTCAGTACGATTTTTCCTTGCCATGTCAAAGTGAAAATAACGAATTTTACACTGTTAATGAAATTTACGGGAACAAATAAATTAGAAAAAGAAAACAAAGTCTTTTAACAAAATTAATACTCACGTTTGCTGGTAAGAATTGATTTAAGTATTTAACATTGTTTGTTATTTCTTCTGTTAAAATACTTTCATGTTTACGTTTTTCTCTTTTCTTAACCAAGTTAAGAATTATAATCGGTGATCCATGATGGAATAAAAGTTTTTCGAAATGTCTTCCTGCGGTTTCAGCATATGGATCGGGGATATCAAGAGAAATTGGTGGTTTTGGAACCATTTTACTGATATCCTGAGACCAATGAGCCGGAATTGATCCTCTTAATTGGACAAAAGACGAAATTCGTTTACCATCACTTAGAATTTGTTCCGTTTCCACTGCATTTGCAACATCACCCCTTGAATTCGCTCCACGTTTGAGAAATCTTGTACCAGCAAAATGTTTTGAACGTCTAGCAATAAGACAAACGGAGACTTGCAGACCAAAAATACTGATGGAAGATTGATTAATGAATCCATGAATGATTTCTAACATCCAATCTTTATGAAGAACCTTTTTCTGCATTGGATGCAAGAGAAACTCATTCCACACAAATTTTTTTCTTGATATACTTCGAAAAGCAAATGTCCTGTTTTCTTCAGATCCTTCCCAACTAAGTGGATCCTCCGTTTCAATATCTACACTTTCTCCTACAAACTTAGGCACCGAGAGATTATATTGAAGAGTTCTTGTTAAATCATAAGAGTAAGAGAAGTAAAAGTTTGAGCTAAGATCAACGTTCATAAACATTTTCAAGTATTTTGTCTCTAATGGATTAACTGTCTTCTGACCTTCACTACAGATTTTGAAGATTGTTGTATCTTTGATTGTATAAATTGTGTGATTACCAATAAATCCTATTTTATTTCTTTTTGTAACCAGAATTAAATAGTATCCTTCTAGAAATTTAACGAACCCGATGATGCCATAAGCTGATAACGATTTTGTAAATTTAATTCCAGAAATAATTTTTCTGATTTCTTTTGTGTCATATTCATTCGGATCCTCAAAGATATCCAAGCTTGAAGATTTGGCAATTTGTAGAATTCGAAATCTGTTTTCTCTATTGTTAGAACCAATTAGATAAATTGTCTGAAATGAAAAACACTACAATGAAATTCTTAAAGAAATGTATTAGGTACTCTGCTTACTAATTTTGTCTCGTAGATTCTTATTTTCTGAATAGAACTTATTACAGGTAAAAACACCGTTTTGGCTTTTAAATCACGATTTTCATTCATGATTAAAATAAAACTTTTTAATATTATTTATCGAAATTTAAAATAATTTTGTCTAAGATTGAATTTATTACGAAAATTAAACTTAACATCATAGTACTAAGGCTCTAAATTCCGCGCCAACAAAGTAGAAAAAAGGGTGCCAAACTACTACCTGTTTTAAAGCTACCTAGCTTTAATTAAATCTGCTTAAATGTTAGTCTAACCCCGATTCCATATAAAATTTAATCTAATCTTCTTTAATCCAGGTTAATTTAATCTACCTAGAGTTCGGTTACGTTGCTACTGAAGTTAATTACCGAACTCCTTTTCATGATTATCTTGTATTACAGTTTATTAAACTACAAATATTTCTTTAGGATCGATAGGGGACCCGAAAGTTGATTTTTACGTAGATCAATTCATTACAAAAAGTGTTTAATTAAAGCGTTATCGAGAAAAACTAACGTGTCTCTTTTCTGTCGCATTTGATAGATAAATATCTATATATCAGATTCTTCAGATAAAAAACAAAGAATTACACCGATTAAAAATGAATTAAAAAGAAGATAGGAGGAATATTAATTTAATTCGAAATGATAAGTGTACCGGGAGAAAGTACCTTCATAAGATATAATGATAATTAGAAAATTAAAAGAAAGCTTTCGTCATTATCTAAAGAACCTATTTAGGATTTAAATGGAAAGTTAATTTTTGTATTTCTCATTTAATATTTCGTGATCAGAGGTAATGCCTCGAAAGAGAAGACGTGTGTTAGTATATAAAAAACATTTTACGCAAGTTCAGTTTCTCGAGGGAAGAAGAATAATAGCTTTTAAATATGGATTTGATTAATCACAAAATGTCGTGCAGGTATTTATTGATTTCACCTTTAATATCAGTTCAAAGCCGGTCATTTGTTTTGTCAATGTCTATCAGTCGATGTGAAATTTGGTGACATTGTTCGGCTCCATTAGTAATATTTATTTTCTAAAGTCTTGAACTTGACAAATAATTCAACAAAGAAAATTTAAGTAGTGAAAATGTTTTGATAGATTTGAAATAAAAATTAATTAAAAAGTCATGAAAACCTAGGATCGAGCAGATATATATAATTGACATTTCTAGTAGCTATAGTTTATTTTTAGAATTGAATGGAAGTTTTGTTTCTCTTTTATCGCCTGAACGAAGTTAAAAAGCTTTCAGGCAGTCGTAAAAAAAATATTTTTTGATGAAAAGATGAAACATTTTAAATGTTTTTTAAATATAAATTTATGCTTTTCATGATAAGTTCATTAGTAAATAGTAAGGGTTCATTTTTCTCTAAATGAATAACAAAATATAAGAAATTTCGTCACATTTATATTTTCGTGATAAATAGAGATATAATTAAATAAATTAATCTGTAAGTAATTAACATTTAAAATAATTTGGCATGTTATGGTACATCTTAATGCTCTTGATTTTCTTTGTGAAAAGTTGAATAAAAACATCAACGATAGAAAAATTCGACGAAAAAAAAGGTTACATTGAATAAAGTGAATTATCTTTAAGGATGGGAATAAGAAAAGGAATCGATAGATTTCAAAGAAAAATCCCAAAAAGTTATTTGAAAAAGTCGAAAGGTTGAAAAAAACTCCATTCTTTTGAAACAAATTTGTGATCTCATATAATGGTGTCAACAAACGCTTCATCCTTAAAATTTTTTATTTCTCATATTTACCTACATATATGTAGTATAACTATGAAATATTTTCTATGATAAACATCATAAGATTTTTTATTACATTTTGGAAGGAGAAAAATATTTGAATAAAATTTAAAACAATAAAAGGACACTTTCCAGAGACTAAACTAAGTAAGACATCTAGAAGTAAGAAATGATGATAATTTTGAAGTCTTTCTTAAGAAAATATCTCGCAGTTAATAATGAAATTCAATAGAAAATCACAACTTTGGAAAATATAAATTCTAGCTCATGAACTTTTCGTCAATTGTAAAGTTTTGAAAGCAGAATAAATTATTATCATATAGTTGTTTGCTGAGGGAAATGAAAACTTTATTGACTTATTTTTTCAGAATTACAAATTTTGAAAGTTTCCCGTTATTTAAAGCTAAAGGAATTTTTAATTCACATTTCATATTTCCTTGAAAATCAACTTAACAGCTTTTTGTTATTTGAACAAAACTGTATAATACATTTCTTTCACAATCAAGTGCTTTAGATTAACGATTATTTGATACTTCTGCATACTTATTAAAAAATATTTTCTCTACATGTTTAGCAACTACTATAGAAGATTATTTTCAAGCAATATTTTTTTATGAATCAAAATAATTTTTAAATCTTGAATGATTACGAAAATTTTAATGTGCTGAAATGAAGTCCTTGACAAAGCAATACATTTTTTTATAAGTAAGCGGACATATTTATATCTCTTGAAAAAATGGGTTTTCATCGGTTATGAATTGAAAAATAAGAGCTAAGATATTTTGCTTCTCGAATAAAATCGAAATTTCATATAAATTATGTCCAAACGCTTTGAAGGATGAATTCTGATTTAATATTTTCCGTTTCACTAAATAGAATTTGCTAATCTCCCATTTCAGTAGTTTAAGTTATGTGTTATCTATCTATATGAACATTTTAAAAAAGTTTCAAATTGAATACGTTCATTATAATATTATAGATTCTTCAGAACAAAGGAATTTAACTCATTATTTCACATAACTGTTTAGGATGTATTGAAAAAAGATTTACTACAGAGAAATGTAAATTACTCGTTTAAATTGGGTTCAACGTTTTGTTTCGTTTTTCAGAGTTTTGTGCCACACTTATTTATCTTTATTTCCCTTGAAGTCGGTTTACAGATGTTGTTGACATTCATATAAATATTACTCACATAACTAAAGTTTTCTACTACATAAAAGCGGTTATCGAAAAAAGTTAAAACTTTTCAAACCATGTTCTCCCAAGTATTCCATTTCAATTAATATTAAAGACATCTGTATGAAATTAACAAACTTTTAATTCTATTATAGTGTATGCGACAACTCTTATCTTCAAAAATGTATACAGTTAACGTAAAAAATTCAGTATAGATGTTTCGATGGGTAAAGCTTTAGGACAAATGTGAACCGTACATTTAAATACCTAAGATAAATTTGGTATTTGCGGTTATGTAGAACATTCGTTTGAAAAAAAATTGAGCTTAGGATGGAGAAAAGTTAAACAAATATTTGAAAACTCCCTTGAAGCTGTAACAAAATGGGTTAATTTATGAATGCTGGATACTTTTTTTTTCACCCCGAGCTTCTGTTTTCTGTGGTATATACATACATATATGCATGAAGTTAGATTAGGCTTGTGACAGAGAAAATACGGTAAAGTATGGAAATTTTAAATAAATTGATGATGACATCATAAGCGAAAAGCTTCTTAAAGCGTCACGCAACCATGAATCTCATGCTTACGAAAATACATTTTTTAAATACGATTTTCACATTTTTTCTAGTTATGAAAATATATGTATGGAGTATGATACATCCAACTTGCCACTTAAAAGATTTGCATTTAAGTAGAAGCATGTGACCTGAAAATGTTTTACATTTGCTTTGTTTGGTCGGGTGGTTTATATAATTCTTAAAGAAAATAAATAGTGTAAGCAAAATTTGTTTTTAAATTTGATTCTACCTACTTATCTCAATTCCTGAAGATTTATTTATAAAATTCATAATGTTTGTTTTAATTTAAATTATGCATTTTTTGTTTTAAGTCATCGTAGCATAAAATGATTTGAAAATCATTTCAAAGTTTATCATGCTTATTGATATTTAAATTTTACTTATTTTATAAACAGTGCAGCTTTGATATAACGTGCTATTAATTTAACGATTTTCTTTACAACCTGATGTTGTTTTAGATCCTTTCAACCATGATTGATAAAAATACTTTCTTGATGCAGTGATTTTCTCGATAGAAGGATATTTTTGAGTTCCTTCAGCCATCGTTGTATCAAGAGTTCGCTATACTTCTCTACTAACTTTATCCTGTCATTTATGTATAATTTAGAGCTCTGAAAAGGTTTTCAATCTGTAAACGAAACGTTAGGGAGAACGAAATGAAATATGTTGAAAAGAAAGAATACTGGATAATATTTAATTTTTCTGTAAACTTTAGCTTTTTCAACAGTGGAACAAAATTTATTTTATCATTTGTGATGGTGCTACTTTTTTCAACCGAGAATTCCCAATAGAAATTCCAACTGCTCTTTGAATAATATTTTTCTAGTATTATATTAAGCTCATATTTATTGACCTTTAATAAATTTTTTCAAAAGCCAATTTTAGAAGAATATTTGCGATTTTTTTACTACGAAGGCACAGCAATGCTTCATTAACAATGTGTGAGCAAAAAATAGCTATAACGATATTCTAGTCGCCTATAAAAGTTGTCAGCTTTACATTCGGTTTGATTTATTTCAATAACATTAATTTTCTGATGTAATCTGTAATCAATCATGATCTATAACAACTTGCATGATTTTACCGAAAAGGGTTAAAAGAAAATTGAAGCTAGATTGATACGATACCTTTTTTTAATAATCGGCCAATAAGGATCTAAGTATTTCATTTGGTCATCAGATAAACACCATAAAATGTATGAGATTGTGTGCAGATGTTGGTAACTTCAAAGCTTTCGTATCTGTTTCACATTTAAATCAGTGCTTCTTGATAAGAAAGAAAAGTTATAACAAACACATACATATACTAGAGTTTAAGAACTTTTTGAAATTTCAGTTCACTTCAAAAATTGCTCATTGACAGTATTTGAAGTAATAACATACATATAAAACAATTAGTTATAGATTCTTGAATATTTTCAGAATAAATTTAAATCTTAAAATGCTGAAGTTCAGTCAAAAAAGCATATAAGATTTCTGTTTACGTAGAAAAAATTTTCATTTTAAAAAAATATATAAATTAGGTATTTCATGAACATATATTTTGTGCTTTCGTAAATGAAACGATGCATGAAATTATGCAAATAAAAATTAATTCATAAAATTTTTATATCTGTTACATTGCAAGCCAG